GTAACACAGCCAGCGGTCAGACTCAGCTCCGGAAGTGGTCAAAGCTGGGGCCTGATACAGACGAGATGGGACTTTGGGGGTGTCGGAGGAGACACCACCAGCCCCCCTACCCGGGGCTCGGAGCCCTGCAGTGTTTGCCGAGTTACGGTCTAGCTGGGCCCGCCGCCATCCTCAATCACTGGAGCTCTGGATACACCCGCCATTCCCCCCTCGACCCTGCGGGGGCTCTTCCAGCTCCTCCAGGTGTGCCGGTGGGAATCGCCGCGCGTCTGCCCCTGGGGATCGATCGGACGCCAGGCGACGCGCGGTCTCGGCTCCCGAGCCTCCGCCCCTCCCTGCTCGCTTAGCGACGCAGGACACGGCCTCCCAGCCGCACGTCTTCGCGGTTCCGGGCCGCAGCCAGCCCAGGCGTCCGGCCAGCCGGGGAGACGGGGCCGCTCCAGGCCTCGGATCCCGCAGCTTGGGTCGGGGGAGCGGGGGCGCGCCAGACCCGCCCCCACCTCGGCCTGCGGGCCGCCCTCCCTACCCCCAGTCCACTCACCCCACCCGCCCCCCGCCGCGCACTTCACCCTAGGCGCGCCGGGCTGAAGGGGGGGGGATGGTAGAGCAGTGGGCGGGGCCGCACTTTCAGACTGGCGAGCACCCCGGGGTCCGCCGGCGATTCTACCCAGTTCCTGGGCATGCTGCAGCCGGTCTGAATTGAAAAGGAAAGAAAGAGCTCGTCCGTGTGTGTGGGCCCCGCCGGGCCGGGGGCGCGACCGTGACAGCCGAGCGCACGCACACCGCGGGCACGGGTGCAGAGGGGAGAGCCTCGGGGAGAAGGGGGTCCCGCAGGGAGGCCGTAGGCAAACGAACCCCGAATAATCTGCACCAAGACCGCCGAGGCCGTTGTGAGCGCGCGCGGCGGCGGCTCAGAGCAGTGGAAGCGGTTTGAAAGATCACATTTGAAATATGGATCCCGAGGGCACCCGGCTCGATGCCGAGGGAACGGCGACAGCACAGGACGCCCGAGAGGTTTAGGAGGTGGCCTGGCCTTGCGGAGGGTGTGGGCCTACCGATCGCGCAAAAAGCACAGCGTCCTGCCTAGGCGCCGATGGCCCCCGCGTGTAGCAATGTGGAGGCGCGACTCGCAGGCGCCCGTGTGGCCCCGAGGGGTGCTGGGCCCTGCCCAGGGGCCACGCTCCTGCCCGTGCTCCCATCACTCCCGCCCTCCTGGACCCTCCGTTCTAGCCTCCCGGGTGGGACATAAGGCATCAGGGGCTTCACAGCCCAGATGAAATCCAAGCCTTCCAGGGCAGCGTGACAAAGGGAGCTGAGAACACAGAGGGAAGAGAGGCGCCCTGACAAACAAGCCACCCTTCAGGAAGGGTAGAGGCAGCAGAGTGCGGGGATCCCACACAACCTCACACACACGCCCACCAGGTCCGCGTCCTCTTGTTGTTGTTGTTGTTGTTGTTGTTAATGCCGTTGGTTCCGACTCATTGCGACCCTGTATAGGATTTCCTAGGAGCAGCTGGTGGATTTGAGGTCTGATCCTACAGCACCAACCCGTGCCCAGTCCCCTTGGCCACCGCTCAAAAGACCACATTCCTAGCGCCAGTATGGAAGTGACAGACAGTTCTGCGCTAAGGACAGAGAACAAAAGTAAACACGAGGAAAGGTCGGGCCAGGTTTGTAGTAATTCCCCGTGGCTATCCCCTGGTCCCCCAGGCTGGAAAACCCTGGGAGGGAAATGTTGGCGGGACTGGCCACAAAGATTGAACCTGGCAGTTTCACATCCCCACACCCCAGCTGGGGGTGCCCATTCTGGGAGAGAACTGCTTTACAGCTTGTTTGCCCACTTTGTGTGGGGTTCATATCTCTTCAGACCCACTCTTGATGGTCACCTTGCAGTCCACAGCCATAAAAAGCGACAGGCTTCACCAGGGTGGACTCGTTCAACCCTGTCTCCTTGGGGTAGGGAGTTCTTTCTGCCCCTGGGATTACAGCTCAAAATGACGCTGATTTTGCCCTTCAGCTGAGCAGAACCCAAGTAAAATGTCCACTCCGGGGACCCTTATCTGAAACACCCCCCTGGGGCTCAGACATCCTGGTTCCAGAAAACTGGGTCCCATCTGAAGGCTCTGGGAATTCCAGGTTTGGGGCCAGACTCATCTGTGACTCCCTCGGAAGGGCCAGGACTAGCGTGGAATGGGAGGGTCTTTCTCAGAGGGGCTGTTGGAGTGAGTCAGAGAGTTTCTGGGGGCTCTCCCCAATTTGTCCCACCTCTTCTCTGATGCCAAGTATTGCTTCTGATGACCTGTGCTCCTTACCACCTGCTGGCAGATGAGAGGAGTGACCTAGGCCCCGGCCCCTGTGAGGATGGAGACTTGGCTTGGATGGGTCTCCATATCCGCCCACCTTGCACCAGGAGAAAAGAACTTCTCCCAGAAAGTGTGCCACTGTTAACAGTGGGAGGATGTGTGGTTCCGTCGCTGTGGGGGTCATTGCGGGTGATGAAGCAATATGGGATCAGGGTCCTTTGGGGGCACTTAGGGACTCCCCTGAAAGTCTTGGCAAGCCTCATAGCTCTGGTACCACAGCACAGGCAGATCCAGAAAAGATCACCCTGTGGGCAGTTAGACCCCACTTCCTCCCCAGCACAGTGGCCCGTCCCACTCCTGAGAGAAGCTATCCAGGCTCTGGGTCCCACCATGTGGCCCCAGGTCCCCAATGCGGGTGCCTGAGGGGCTTGGGCCAAGCGAGCGTGTCTGAAGCCTACGGAATCCAACGTCTCTGGTGGCTTGGAAGCTCGGCGGCCACTGGTCCACCCACGATCCCCCCCACCCCCACCCAGGAACCCATAGAGACATCCTCTGGAGGCACATTTTCCAGGGGATTTTCTAGTGAGGAGGCGGGCAGAGGGGTATCAGGAAGCTCAGCCCCTTTCAGGGCCGATGGAAACAAAAATTGTTTCAAACCTCCGACCCACCAAGGCAGCGCCCCGTCGCCCCGTCGGTCTGAACGCATACCGACGACTTATCGGCTGAGAGCGCCCGCCGGTCCTAAAGGAGTCTTCATTTCAAGAGCACAGCGAGGGGAGAAAGACCTTACCCTACTCCTCCACAAAAGGATTCACCTCCCCAGCTTGTGTAAACACAGAAAACCCGCAGGTCTGGAGACAGCTAGCAGGGCCGCCCCACCTAGCCGGTTCCCACCCTCCTCCCAGACTTCTAGAGAAGTCTCGAGTTTGTGGGAAAGTAGTAGCTGCAGGTTGCGCCCCTCTCTATTGTGGAAGCAACCCCGCCTAGCACCCTGCAGGGGGAGAAACCGCATGGGTTCCCAAGGCGGCAGCCGGCCTGTCACAGAACCGCTGCGGTGCCCGCGAGGTGCCGGCTCAACGTAGAACGGTGGCTTTCTCCTGTGTGCTCTCAGACACTAAACTTTCTTGTCGGATACCGGGAGAACACACGCCCGGGGCGCGCTTTGGGGGTTTCTCCAGCACTTCGCTCCAATCCACTCGTGGAACCCTCCACGCAGCCCAGGCCCCGCATTCCCAGACGTTTGTCTAGGGGCCGAGAACCATATAGCTCTTGCCCGCCCCCCCCACCACCCGCTCTTCTTTTGCTGCTAGTCTTCCTCAGTGGACTCTCAGTCAATGGATTGAGCAAGCTTCCCGCTCAGGTCCTTCAAAACCTGGACACACCACGGGCAGGCTTTCGTCCACCTCTCCCGGCCGGACCCCACGGGAGCTCGCGAGCAGCGAGCGGCGCTCGCCGAAGGCCGCGGGGGCACCGAATCTTCCCCGCACAACTCAACACCGTCTTGTCGTCCGGAGGTGCTAAACGTCGCGCTCAACGGCCCCTTTGGCTGGGCGACAGGGTCTTGGCCAAACCAGGGACGGGGGATGCGAACTCGACAAAGGCTTGGCTCCTCACTGTTCCATTCGTCTCTCCTTCCAGCCCGCCCCGTTCTTCCCTGGTCAGCCTCAACCTTTCCTTCGAGGCCTTTCCAGGAACCTCGCGAAGTCTCCCCACCAACTGTCACCGACAGCTACTGCTCCCTCTCAGATCTTCTCGCGGTTCCCCTGCTTGGCTGCGGAAGATTCAGGGTACTGGACATCCGACCCCCCCCCTCCCCCGCCCACCACCGCATCGCCAAGAAAAGGGTGGAGCGTCAACACTTTCGGGTCGAGGGTCGCGCGCGCGCCAGGGCCCTAGGGCTGGCTGCGCCCTCCTGCACGCTCTCCTGGCGGGTGTTTCGTACACAGTGCTGTCTCTTCTCGTCCTCGCCTTCCTAAATGCCCGAAAGCTCTCGGGGCGGGCCAGCGGGCACAGAGGGTGGTGTGCCAGCTGCCCTGACCCCGATTCCGCCCCCTGCCGGTAGCGCCTCGGTGTCCCGAGCGCACATGACGCAATTCGGTGCAACAGTAAACTGCAGTGGATGCTTCGGTGGCCCCCAGCAGGGGTCCCCGGGCCGTGCCCGCAGAGCAGGAGCGGGGAGTGGGAGGCTAGGGCGCCGACCTGGAAGCGGGGGTAGCTACCGCTATCATCCCGATCTTGTCACCCCCGCCCCCAGTCGACACACCTCTTCGCCGGGCACCGACTCCCTCCCGCAGCCTCCCCAGCCGGGCTCGCAGCTCCCTACCCTGCAGCGCCCGGCCCCCTCCCGCGCCTTGCCCCCTCCCCCGCCGCCAGGCCCGAGCCTCCGGTAGGCCGGGCTGCGCCAATCCGGGCCGCGGCCCGCCCCCTGACGCCGCGCTGGCCCGCAAGGCCCCGCCCGCTGACGTCCGGGATTTGCATGAGTTCTTGTGCACCGCGGCCCGGGCTCAGTTGTCTGAGCGAGCGCGAGCCGAGCCGGGCAGCGGGCAGCAGTGGGCCGCCGGCGGAGCGGGCGAGCAGGCGGCAGGGCAGACAGGGCGGCTGGGCGGCGGTGCCTCGGCCAGAGCAGCAGCAGCGCCCCCGGGGCCAGCAGCGTCTGCAGCGGCGCCGGCCCCGCGCCCCGGCGCGCTCGGCCCGGCCATGGAGCTGCCAGCTGTCGGCGAGCACGTCTTCGCTGTGGAAAGCATCGAGAAGAAGCGGATCCGCAAGGTAGGACGGCCGCGGGGGCGGCGGCGGGCGGCGCGGGAGCCCGGCACGGAGCGGGAGGGGGTGGGGAGCCGCGGCCGGAGCGGGGATCCCGCGGAAGCTGATGGAGTCCTGTCTCTTCCACCCACAGGGCAGAGTGGAGTATCTGGTGAAATGGAGAGGCTGGTCCCCTAAGTAAGTAGCGGGGAGGGAGGAGGGGGCGCCTGGCCGGGGTTTGGGCGCTGGACCAGCCGGGCGGGTGGGGGGCGGGGGGCGGCCGGGAGGCGGGGTGGCGGAGGAGGGGGTGGGGAAGTCGGTGGCAGGCACTGGGGAAGCCGAGCCGCCAGCCCGAGCCCGGCGCCCTGTGTTGTGCTCGGCTCTCCGGGAAATGCCATCACTAATTTATGCACTAAAAGGAGCCGGCGGAGCTGGAGAGACGCGGGGCTGAGCCGGGGAGGCCGGCGCAGGGAGGGAGGGCGCAGGCACTGACTGATGTGTAGCAGAAAATGGCTCCTTTCCCTTCCCTCCACCGAACGGCTCCATATTGCAAAACCAAAAAAAAAAAAAAAATTAAAAAGCGACGAAAATGCAATTGTGTGCCTCCTCCCTCCTAGTGGTGCAGAGAGGGGACGCCAAAAAGCAGAAAATGTTGGGAAGTGTCACTGCGGTGCTTTTGGTAGAATTTTTTTTTTTTTTTTTTAATTTGAAATGCGATGGCACCGGATGGAGACAGACGCAGGCACACACACACACACTCACACACACACACACGCAGAAGCATATTTTTGTGCTGCTGAGCATTTGGGGGCTGCTTGCCCGTGACAGTAGGCTCCTGGGCCGCCAGGGGGTGTGGGGGGGCACCGGGTTGACGGTTATCGGATTAGGGGTCAAACGGAGAACGGCTGAAGCTCTCGCAGAGACTCAAGGCTGGGGAGAGGAGGAGGGGACTACGACTTTGCATTTCGGCTGCTTTTGCACGCAGGGTTCCTGGTGGGCAAAGTAGCTTTGGAACATGTCGTAGGAACATGTTTAAAATTCTTAACAACTGCAAAATAAACTGTTAGTTGGAATTTTTCCTTACTGATCCGCTTTCTCCCTGCCCTTGTGTGTTTATTTGACTGGGGGGGGTAATCAAAGACGGTATCAGGCTTGTGGAAATCCACCGTTCACCCCCCACATCTATAGCTTAATAGCTTTCAGTTCAGGACGACTGGAAGGCTTTAAGTCATTCCCCACCTGGAGGCCAAGGAGCTGGCTCGCTTGTTTCACGCCGTGTCCCCCTCCCTTTTCCCTTGCAAGATATAACACGTGGGAACCCGAGGAGAACATCTTGGATCCCCGGCTGCTGATCGCCTTCCAGAACAGGTGAGCGTCCCTGCCGCCGTGACCGTATATGGGAAAGGGAAAGTGGGCGCCACAATCATCTAGGGGGAGAGGGGAGTAGGGATTGGCCCCCCACCTCCCCACACACCGCCCCACCCCCACTGCCTAGAATGCTGTCTAGAACCGGCCTGGTTACGACCTCGCCTCCTCTCTAACCTACGTCCTTGGCGGTTGCTGCAGCCTGGGGTGGGGGTGGGGCAAATAAGTGAAAGCTTGCTTTTGAGGGGACTGCTGGAGGATGTGGGTGGGTGCCTCTGGTTCCCAAGGCCCCTGCAGCTTCCCCTCCGGGTGTTGGTCTCCAAAATTCACCGGCTGTTTGGCACCGGTATCTTGCGGGGCAGCTTGAAGGGAGCTGGCGTTGTGAAACTACCGGGACGTCCTGGAACTAATATTAACCTGTTGGGGGCTGGAGAAAAGTTGTCAAGGCCTTAACACACGTACACACACATATCCAGAGAGCTTGCAATCAGTGAGGGGCAAATCTGTCTAGTTCTGATGCTTCTGGCACCCCCCACTAGGCTGCTGAGGGGACAGGATGTCCCCTCCTCTAGACCAAGGAGTTTGGCCCGAAGGGTGTGGGATGGGTACTAGGGGGCGTTTTCGGAGGGGCTTATCCTTGTGCGCACAGAACTTGTCATTGCAGCCAGCCGCTGCAGCTGGACTTGCCGCCAATGGCGGTAGTTCTCTGTTTCGGAAGGATAGAGCGAGGAGGGCCACGAAGGGAGGACAGACAGGAGCTTGGCCACCAAGCGGCCTCCCAGCGCCCCCCCCCCCATTTTGCAGTATTTCCTGTGGCGCCTTTGGCACTAAAACTGTAAAGTTTAGATCCTCTGAGCAAGCAACCAATGGGGAAGTTGCTCTCCCGCAACGACGCAGGGGGGCGCTGAGTAGGAATCCTGCCCCGGGCTCCACCTGGGAGATCTCCACCCCGTAACCATGTCAGCGCTGATGCCATGTTGCATAATAGCTCCCTGAAGAATTCAAATGCAGGCTGTTGCAATGCCACGCAACTTCGAAGTCAGGCATGGGCCCTGACCCCAGGGCCCGGTGGAACCCCTTGGGTTACGAGAGTGGGGGGTAGGGCGTCGCTAATGAATGAACCAGGAAGGGGCTACAGCTTTGGCAAATTCTGGAGAGGCTCCCCCGGTTCCTGTCGTGGGCCGGGCAGCCCCCGGGACTGATCTGCCCTCAGCTGAGGCTGGGTCAGCCTTGGCAGGACTGCAGACAGAAGTCTAGCAGTATTGACCGACGCTACCGCCCGCAGGCTTTATTAATAATTTGGAAATCTGGGCGACCTGAAGCGAGTTGGAGGCATCCCTGTGCCCCGCCCCCGGCCCGCCCCAACGGGGGTTCCCCAGGTGGCTGAGAACCTGGTTTAGCCTAGGGGCTAGGCCAGCCCCCGCCCCCAGCCCCTAATTGGCTCATTTGCCGTTGTGTAAACAAGGGCGCAGCCCCTCCCCCTGTTTAGTGCCTGGCCTTTAAGAAAACCAGTCCTCCCTTCTGCCGGGGGCACTCGTTATGTGAATCTTAATGAGATCATTAGCATCCCTGGTCTCTGAAGGAGAGGGACTGAGGTCGGCACACACCTCGCTTGGACTGGTTTGCTGCTCCCAGACCCCCGCACCCACTCCACTTTGCGCAGGGCTACAGGCCTGAGACTGTGGGCGGCAGTGCGGGACTGGTCCTTGGCAGGAAGGCAGAGCTTCGGGAGCGCGCGTTCAGGTGCGGACATCAGAGGGGGCCTTAACCGAGGATACCCCAGGGGGGCAGATGTGAGTGACTGCGAGTGTGGAGCAGGGTGCTGGAACCCCACTACGGCACCGAGATGGCAGCAGAGATGACCTTCTGCCCGTTGTTGTTTTACACTGTGGGACTTGCTGGCCCCCTGCTCGCTGGCCCCCTGCTCGCTGCTGCTCACTGAGCTGAGGGTCACTACAGCATGTTTCAGGAGTGTGGAGGGAGAAGATTCTAAAGTTAACAGCCGTCTTCTGTTCCCCTAGGGAAAGACAAGAGCAGTTGATGGGATATCGGAAGAGAGGCCCGAAGCCTAAACCCCTGGTGGTGCAGGTGAATATACCCGCCTGCCCCAGTTGCCCAAGAGTGCTTCCCTTGGCATTCCTAGGCCCAGGGCAGTGGGAAATCCTCCCTGACACCCCAATTCCGCTTCCTTTCTGTTAGACCTCCCACTTCCCGCCCCCCCCCCCACCATGTCGCAGCTGAATTCTGGGTGGGGGAGGAACTCCTGAAGTTCCCAGCATGCCCTGGGGCCTGGCCTGCTCTGTCTTCTCACTTTACCGCGGGTTCTCGGCAGGTACCTACCTTTGCCCGGCGCTCCAACGTGCTGAGCGGACTCCAGGACTCCTCTGCTGACAACCGAGCCAAGCTGGAGCTGGGAGCCCAGGGTAAGGGCCAGTCGCATCAGTACGAACTCAACAGTAAGAAGCATCATCAGTATCAGCCGCACAGCAAGGAGCGGGCGGGCAAACCCCCGCCACCCGGCAAGAGCGGCAAGTACTACTACCAGCTTAACAGCAAGAAGCATCACCCCTACCAACCGGACCCCAAGATGTATGACCTGCAGTACCAGGGCGGCCACAAGGAGGCGCCTAGTCCCACCTGTCCAGACCTGGGCGCCAAGAGCCACCCACCGGACAAGTGGGCCCATGGCGCAGGGGCCAAGGGCTACCTGGGAGCGGTGAAGCCCTTGGGCGGGGCGGCCGGACCACCAGGCAAGGGCTCTGAGAAGGGCCCTCCTAACGGTATGACGCCCACCCCCAAGGAGGCAGTAACGGGCAACGGGATTGGAGGCAAAATGAAGATTGTCAAAAATAAAAATAAGAATGGCCGCATTGTCATTGTTATGAGCAAGTACATGGAGAATGGCATGCAAGCAGTGAAGATCAAGTCCGGAGAGGAGGGCGAGGCGCGGTCCCCCAGCCACAAGAAGCGTCCAGCAGCGGAGGACCGTGATCCCCCAGCCGACAGGACTTTTAAAAAGGCGGTGGGCGCTGAAGAGAAGAAGTCGGAAGTGCCTGCCAAGAGGAGTGAGGAGGAGGTGCCTGGAGCGGGTGACCCTCAGCCCCAGGACACCAGTTCCCGAAAGCTTTCTCTGGCCAAGGAGGCCTTCAGCGAGCAACCTCTTCAGCTCACCACCAAGCCTGACCTACTGGCCTGGGACCCAGCTCGGAGCTCTCACCCGCCCCCGCACCACCACCACCACCACCACCATCACCACCACCACCACGCAGTCGGCCTCAACCTTTCCCACTCGCGCAAGCGCTGCCTCTCGGAGACCCACGGCGAGCGGGAGCCCTGCAAGAAGCGCTTGACTGCGCGCAGCATTAGCACCCCCACCTGCCTAGGGGGTAGTCCAGCCACTGAGCGCCCAGCCGATGGCCCTCCTGCCGCTGCTGCCTCCGCTGCCCACCCTCCGCAGCCAGAGGTCATTCTGCTGGACTCGGACCTGGATGAGCCCATAGACTTGCGGTGCGTCAAGACGCGCTGTGAGGCAGGGGAACCACCCAGCTCCCGACAGGTGAAGCCAGAGGCTCTCTCAGCCGCGGTGCCCGTATCTGCCGTACCAGTGACATCGGCCGAGAAGCCTCCAGCCGAGGCTCAGGACGAGCCCGAGGACTCTCTGGCTGACTTCAAGCCCTTCTTTGGGAATATAATTATCACCGACGTGACTGCGAACTGCCTCACCGTCACGTTCAAGGAGTACGTGACCGTGTAGCCGGAAGGCTTCGGAAGGTGAAGCGGCCATCCCAGTGGGGGGACTTAGCACCAGGACCGCGGGAGGGTGGACTCCCCCTCCCACTGACTATGGGAGAAGCGGCCAGCCCCCAAGGCCAGCTCCCCAAAGTAACCGCGGGAACCATAGCCCTCTGAGCCCCTTGGGGCACTGGCTCCCTCCACGCGGTGCCTGCGGAGCTCATCCTCCTTCAGTCCCCTCCCCACGTGGGATGAGAGCCGCGCCCTCTGCCCCTCCCCCTCCTCCCGTGGGCCTCGGAACCGGGCCGCCGGGGCCGGACAGCGTTGCGGCGGCGCAGTCACAGAGTTATAGTATTATATTTTAACGTGCTAACTTGTCAAGTGCTAACTTTGCCCCCGTTTGTACGTGGTGTTATTATTGAAATGTATTGTTTGAGCTCAAAAGGCCCGACCACCCCCTCCGGGCTGCTATATATATATTTATTTGTAGGTATTTATATATTGAAATATAAAAACCTAGATTTATGGCGTTTCCGCTAGATCATGTTATATTCTATATCAGACAAACTATTTTCTGTTGCCCCTTCTTCCCTTTTTTCAGGATTTCTGTTGATTTCATTTCTCCCCTTCTTTTTTCTCCCAAGAACCGCAATACCAGTCCCCTTGGTATATATTTTTTGATACTGTACACATGGATGTGTTGTTTCTATGTGCAAAAAAAAAAAAAAAAAAAAGTTTGTTAAAAGGCTAAACAAGCTCTGGGAACTTGCTGCTACTAGAAAATGTCTGAACTATAAGCTTCCAATTATTACCTGCTTGAATGTAAATATTAAATGGCAATGTTGAAGGTGCATGTTTGCCTTTGAAATTAGTGCAGAGGCGACGTCGGAGGTTGAAGGATTTGCTGAACCTCCTCTCTACACCCCACTTATCCCAATGTCTCGGGACAAATACTCTTGAGTTAGTCCAGAGCTGAAGCCAAATGTAAGGGTTTTCACCACCGGTAACCAGGTGCGTGACCCTGGGGGTGGGGGTGGGGGTGGGGAGCAGCGCCCGTGGGGAATTCCTGCGGAGGACATGGTGACGTCAGTCTAATCCGGGGCTTTGGAGAGGGTGTCGGCGCCTGCAGCACCCGCCACCTAGGAATCCGGTGGGGGGGGAGGGGCAACAAGCGAATATGCGGGTAGGTCCGGCTCCCCAAGGCGCACCCACTTGCCTGACCTTTGACCTCTTCTCTCACTTTGCTATTCCTGCCGGTGTACCTTCCGGGTAATCCCCGCCTGGTAGAGGGGACCTCCACCCTCTCCAGCATCCCTAGCTGCCATCGCAGCTCCGCCCTACGGAGGAAGCCGACTCCGACGCTCTTTCTCTCCCAGGCGCTGTCCCCGGAAACCACCGGGCTGAAACGGGAGGCGCGGCCGGGGCGGGCGGGGTGCTTCCTGCACAGTAGCAGGAGAGGACTGGGCGAGTCAGGCCTGTCCCCCACTTCCTTCGTGAGAGGGGCGAGCGGCCCTCATCCCAGCCAGTCTTGTGTGGGTGACTCGGGTAGGAAGGGGTTAAGGGGCCCCCGAGGAGGGGAGATCGAAAGGGGCCAAGCTCGGGTGCGGCCCCACAGGCCTGGAAGCTGCGACTAGCGCAGGCGGAGGCCCAGCTTTCTGCAGACGCAGCGATCTTGCCCCTGGTGAGGTGGCCAGGCGGGACCAGGGTTGAGAACTGCTAAAGGTCTCAGTGCCTTCCAGGGCACCAGAGCGGAAGGGTCATCGCAGTTCAGAATAGAGGGAGACGGAGAGCCAGCGCTGGGGCGGCCAGGGCCAGAGATAGAGGGCCGGGCGGGCGGGGAGGCCTGAATGCGGACAGTGTGGCCAGTGTTGGCTGCAAGCCACCAGCGGCTGGGGTGGGGGAGGGGCGCGCGCAGGGGGAGGGGAAGGATGGAAGAGAAGTTCTCCAAACATACCCTTGGAAGTTGTGAATGGTCCCTCCCACTCCCCCATCTCCCCAGCCCCCTTTGGAGGGAGTGCAGCCCCCTCCCCCTCCATGTAATGAATGCCCTTTGCCACCCTGGGAGCAGGAGGGGTGAGGGTGCCGCTCCTGGCTGGCTGCCTGCTCCCTGCCTGTCCTTCAGGCCTGATTCACAAAGGGCCCAGCCTGCTCCTGGTTTTTCGAGTTCAGGAGGACTGGGAGTGGGAAATGGCTAAGGGGAGTCTCTTGTTGGTTTTGCACAGTTGGTGACTTGGGGTAGGTGGTACAGAGTGGCACTACCCCAGAGCAGACAGGGAAATGGTCCTCTACATTCCTGGAAAGACAAGAAGGTGCAGGTGATCAGCACCTTAAAAGTAACCTGGTGGCTGGACCTTCTGTGTTGGCCCTTGATCCTTGGCAGAGTCTAGCAACTGACATGAATGGCAGCCAACAGGCCAGAGGATGGGATGGGTCCGAAGGAGTTGCTGGGCGCCCCCACCCCCAACCCCGCCCAAAGCCAGACTCAATGGAGTGTCTACAACTCCCTCTGTTCCCAAGACATGGTGGCCTGGCATGGGCTCCTTGGACATGCTGGGCTTACTAGCATATCCAACTCTGTTCCCACGGGGACTGGGGTTCCCTGTGGGTAAGGGTGAAGTTCTCATGGGCAAACCCACATGGCCCAGCCAGCATAGGATCAGCCAGTTCTCTGTTGAGTCTAGAACCAAGTTACCTCCCCCACTGGCCTCTTGCCACAAGCCCTAATATCACTTGGGGAAGTGTGGGGAATTTCTCCTTGCAGGCCTTTGGGGATTGGGAGAGTGTGGTTGCCCCAGTTCACATGGGTGTGCATGCTTTTTTCTAACTTGGAACCTGGCTGCCCACCTGACCTCTACTAGATAGGAGGGGAGCTCTTTTATGCCCAAATTCAGAGGGGAGAAGGAAAGCAATGGGGCAGTCCTGCTCTGTGCTCTTGGAAACCCAAATAGCTTTGTTTTTCGTCCAAGAAACCTTCCTAATGGGGCTTCTGGTCTAGAGGTGGGATTGACCCCCCCAGCAACTGAGTCAGCTGCACCTCTCTCATCTCCCTTCCAGCTCTGGTCTCCCTACTCCAAGAGTGCAGAGGAAGAGATCTGAAGAGTCAGGTACTAGGGGTCTAGAGTTGCCAGGTTAGCACATACAGATGCAGTGACGTTGGATTTTCCAGTATTGATGCAGATTTGTTTTGATATCAGTGGTGGTGGTGGTGGTTATGTGCTGTGGAGTTGGAATCGACTCATAGCGACCCTGAGCAGGGTTTCCAAGGCTGTATCCGTGCTGGTGGTGGTGGTTATATGCCATGGAGTTGGTTCTGACTCATAGCGACCTTGCACGGGGCTTCCGAGGCTGTAAATCTTTATGGGAGCAGAAAGCCTCATCTTTCTCCCACAGAACGGCTGGTAGTTTCAAACTGCTGACCTTGAGGTTGGCAGCCCGATTCATAACCACTACGCTACCAGAGCTCCGTTTTAGTATCAGTATGTCCCATAACAGATTAGAAACGTACTTAGAGAGGAAAAAATGCATTGTTTATCAGAAATTCAAATGTAATGGGCTCTCCTAGATTCATCTGGAAACCCAATTTGAATTCTGAATGAAGGGTTCACATGGTCACAGGGAACTTTCCATCTAATGAGAGAGTGAATGGATAGAAAACTGGGAAGCCCAGATCCTCCTAAGTGAGGTTACAATAATGACAGTGAACAGGAGGGCGTGGCTTGGAGTGGGTCGCTGAATGCTGGAGGGAGCCTCCCCTGGAACTGAAGATGGACGACCTAAATAAAGTTGGAGGAAGACCCAGCTGGACCCTTTGTCTCTGGCCTATCTTGGGCTCCTCCCTAGTCTCACCCTCACTGAACCCCAGCTTCTGGTAGATACGAAAACAGAACCAATCTGACTGCTGTACCCACTGCCCTCATCCAAAAGCTCTACCTGCCTGCCCTCTGTGCCCTCATCACCTTAAAAGACACACCACGAAAGTGATGATGAATTGGGTCAGCAGGAACCTTGATCGATTCTGGAAAATCCCTTAATTAAACACCCCAGTTGTTTGGTGTGTTTTTTTCACCAGGGAACATTAACCATCCTATGTAAGAGCCAAATGCCTTCCAATGACTTGTGGTCTCAATCCAGGACACTGGTGGTTTTGACCTCCAACCTCTCTGTGCTGCCTTCTACATGCAGCTTCTGCTTGGTGAATTACCTGTGAACTGGACCTCATCCTCTGCCCCTTCTGCTTTATCCTGGGGCATTGAGAATGGTCTGGGGACACTAGAGCTGAGCCTGGGTTGCTGGACACCCCAGTCAGTCAGTACTCCGCTTCTCCAGTTGTCTTCTTGTATTTGGGTGATGTGCATTCCTCCCCAGAGAAGTAGCCTGGACAGCTGCATCAGAAGCCCACCTCAACCCACCCACGCCCAGCCTCCACCCTGCCCACCTCCTCGTGTGTCCTCTGCAGTTAGGGATAACAGCCCAGTTATCAGATGACGTGCTGCATTTTGTTTTCACACCAGCCCCACGAGGTGGGTCCTACTTTTGTCTCTGTTGTGTGTTGGAGTTAGTTGTTCAGATGGCCCCCAACTGAACAACATGGAGACCCCGTGCCCGATGGAATGAAATGCTGCCCCGTCCACTGTCATCCGCTCCTCTGGTTACAGATGAGCCATTGTGATCCATAGAGTTCTCATAGGCTGATTCTTGGCAGCTGATTACCAGGCCTTTCTTCCTAGTCTCTCTGAGTCTGGAAGCTCCGTTGAAACCTGTTCAGAATCTCAGGAGCAGATGGCTGCACACAGGGGTCAGTTGCCCAGTCCTGGCTCACTGGGTACTAGATCTCTGTCAGGGATTGTAAATTTTGAAGAAAGGTTTTAATTCTGTAGGAAAGTGCTGGGGGGTTGGGGGGTTGGGGGAGTGGGAGAGAGATGAATACCAGTCATACCTAGAAGGGGATTCTTAGATGTAATGTGAAATTGTTCACTGTTGTTAGGTGCCATCGAGTTGGTACCGATTCATAGTGACCTTATG